AAACTCAAATCAAACTTTGTATGAAATTTGGGTTTGGTTTGAGTTTGATATTTTTTTATTTGAGTTTGGTTTGATTTTAAACTTTTATAAAATTTATAGTTTGAGTTTGGTTTAATTTAGGGTTTGATCAAACTCAAATCAAACCCGGATCAAACAACAGAACCCTATTAACTCTTTTTTTTATATAAAAATAAAAATTTTTATAAAAGAATTTTACAGCTATTTTTATAAGGCCATATAAACTTAATTTTTTGGTTATTATAACCTTGCTGGTTATATTTTAAAAATTTTTTGAAAAAATTTTTTTATATAGTTTAATAGCTAGATGGAATTTCAAAAAATTTTTTTAAAAAATTTATAAAATTTAAAATTTTTATATATAAAATTTTTTAAATAAAGTCCAGATAGATAAGTTATTACTTTATTTAATACTATAATGCTAGGTTATTATTTTTTAAAATGAATATTTAAATTTTATAATTAAAAAAATTTTAAAAATTTTTAAATAAAAGTCTGGCCTGTCAGGTCTTTTTTTTTTTTTATGTTATGAGAACCAAAAAATTAATTTTATATGGCCTAAGTTCTAGAATGATAAAAAATTTAAAAAATTTCTGATAACTAAATTCAATAAGTTTCTAAGTTTGGCTATCAGAAATTTTTTGTTGTCTCAAAATTAAGAAAACAACTGTTACTTTTCTAAAAAGTTTTAAAAAATGTTAATACTGATTTTAATATATGATCTTCAATAGGTTTGTTAACAATAGGACATCGCATACCCCAATGTGACATGCTCGATCACAGTCACATAGTTTGATCATCAAAGATAGAGGTAATTTCGTAAGTAACGAGGCAATTGGAAAATCAGTTTATCGTTGGGTAAGTATGAGGTAATTTTATCATAGTATATATTGATATCAATAAAGTATGTAGGGAAAATAACCTTATAATACGCGCTTGGTGGGCATGGACGTTATTTCGAATTTTGGCCTGAATAAGCTTAATTCGGGCCAAAATTCGAAATAATGTCTGTGCCCCTATTTCGAAAATTTACGGTAGAACAAGAAACTTGATTTCCAATAATAATTTTTTCATGATTTTTATCGGACACAAAAAATTAAGAAACCCGCAGATTTGTGATCCTATCCCGCGCAGGATTCGCATCACTCATGTAATCCGCGCGTGATGTGCGGGATTTTTGAAACTGCAATTTACCATCTCTAACTATTATTTAAAACAGGACATGAAGTCTTTTGCATATGCAATTTCTGGTTGAAATTTGATAAACTTTGGCTTTGTTACATAATAATTCGAGAATTTGCAATATATATTTCTTGTATTTAATTAATCTTAAAAAAATAACTAAATTAATTGAGATATTTAAAATTATTCATTTAAGAGAATTTAATTAAAAGAAGTAGAATCATGTTACTCATTATTTTGAAATGGTAGTAAGATCTTTCAATTTACTATATATCATATCTACTGCCGGCCGTTTTATCGGATGTGGACTCCAACTAGTTATAATATATAACCCTAGCGCACAAGCTTAATGATTTAGGGTTTGCAATAAATTAGGTTCGAAAGAGTTTTTTCAATACCAAAATTTCAAAGAAAATTTTTTGTTAATACGCAGAAGACAGTTTTATAGTAAAATGTTGAGTTATGAATGAATAGTGCTCGGCAAAATCAAACAAAAACTCGATTATTGAGTTTTTGAAAGTTGAGCATCTATCAGTTACACAAATCGGGTATTAAATTATATTGGATATAAAATTTATTTTCGAAGTTTAAGATAGATTAGTTTTAAAAATAAATTTTATATTTGATATAATCTAAAATTTGATTTGTGTAACCGATAGATGCTCAACTTTTCAAAAACTGGATTTTGCCGCTATGAGATTTTTTGCGTTTCTTCACGTTACACCTGACCTTGAAATCTGATTTGCTTGCGAAATAGTAACAAAAATTTTTTAAGGTTGTTTATTACCATATACACCTAGCAAACTTGCATAAAACTTGTTTATATTAAATTTGGATAAATTTTTCATGTCCGAGTTTGAGTAACAATAACCAAAATTTTGGACTCTATATTAATTTGGAGTTTTATGTTTGTCAAACTGATGTACAAAATAACAAATGAATAAAACACTTAACTACGTATTACACATGTGCGGACAGTTATAAAATGATGTTTTTGATTCAAATAATTTAAAAGATTATAATAATAATGAGAATCAAAACAGAAAAATGTAACTACTGTATCACTCGGACTAACTCCGAATAATAAAATAAAAGCATTTTCTAGAATATGTGTTTTAGACTTCAAAATATATCTATAAACTTATTTACATACAGCATTGGTCTTTTAAATTTAACATAAACACTTTTAATAATATGAACAATTGGCATAATTCCCAGGTTATTGTAACATTTTTTATTTTACTGGACTTAGTTCGGTCAAAAGCGTATAACTATTAAAAGTATGTGTACTACAATTCGAAGTTAAATAAATTTATTGGAATTTAGGATATTTTTTAACTTAAATTACAACATGATGAAATTACATATGCAATTTTTAATAGTATACTGCTTTTAATTATATCGCTGATTAAACCAGAAGTTTTAGTGGCACTTATTAATATAAACATTATATATCTTTTATATAAATAGGAACTTTATGATCTTATTGAAAAATTTAAAAAATGGACAAGTACTCATGATATCTATTCCTTGAAAAAAATTATTGAAGATAATAAAATATCACACAAATTATTAGTCAAGTCCCTTGAATTATTGTCTGATTCATCCACATTTAAATATTATAGCATTGAAGCTATTTCTGAGTTAGAATTACATCTCCGCACCTTAGTTTCTCTTATTGAAGTAATTTGCAAAAGTAAAATTCGGATTCGGCACGATTTGAGAGAAAAAATTTATGCTCAGCTAGGAAAATTTGCAGAGATACATTTTCGATCAACTGAAGTTAATGAACAAGGGTTTAATAAAGTTTTTAAGCCATAATTTGACGATTTCAATCCACCATCAAATGCAACATCCTCACTGGACTTGGATATTTCAAATGATCAAAAAATTTATAAGAATGGAAAACGCAATTACAATATTGATTTCTTGTTATTACATTTGCGAGATACTCTTCATTGTATGAATGATGATGAGAATAAAATTTTGGAAGTATGGAATAGAATAAAAGGACTCCTTCGTATAGTATTAGGTATTACTCCTGGACTTGTAAAAAAGGGAATTTCACATGGTGCTGATTTATCTATAGACAACAACATAGCATTTTTGTTTAATAATTTACAAGAGGCTTTTACCTGGAAATATCCAATTTCAGTATGGTATTATGAATGGAGAACACTACTTGAATTACATTTTAATATTCAAAATTTTCTTCAAGAATGTTCACTTCCTCCAAAATATGGTGAAAGTTTATTACTTGAATGTTTATGGTATTGTGCATCAAAAAGTTGGTCAAATCCAATATCTCAATCTGAGTCTCTTACAAATAAAATGCATTTTGTCAATAATCTTTTAGGAATGGAGCCACTTGCATTCCCACATTCTCTATGGTTTGGAGCGCTTGATATTACACAAAAATTAATTACAAAAACTCAAAAAGATTCAACTTTGGGCATCTGTTATTATTTAGCATTAAAATCTTTGCAAAAAGCACCTACATCTTTCATTCGTTACAAGGCCATAGAAGTTCTAATCAAATTATCAAAAAGAAATAAGTTATTTTACAACATTATTGGCAATGATTTTGAAAATTATAAGCAGTCTTTAGATTCAATAAAAAGGTTGAAAACTTACCATATGATTGAGGCGATTCGTGAAAAGTCTTCTCAAGATGAAAAATTAACAGACATTAATAAAAACAATACAAATGATTTAAAAGAAAAAGAAAAAATTATTACGCCAGATAGTTTAACATTAGCCCAAATGATAACCCCAAATGATGATTTTATTTCAGAGATTGTCAGTACAGAATTGTCCTGCCCATTAACTTGTAAAATTTCAAAAAGCTTTCAAATTTTATCATGCTGTAAACATTTAATTAGTTATGAGGCTTTGCAGCAAATTATCAATAACAAATCTCAACCAACTTGCCCATTTTGTCGAAAAATAATTGATATAAACTCTGTAATTAATTTACCACAGTTAGCAATTTATCAAGGAATTCGCAATTATTTACCTGAAGAAAATAATATTAATATTGTTCAAGATCATGACAAAAATATTTCTACTGAAAGTAGTGACGATGAAGAGATTAATATTTCTAAACTTAAATCTCAACAAAAATTTAAAATATCGGATTCAACTGTAAAAAAATTTTTTAAGCCACACAAATTCCTTCATTCATCATTAAGAAAAGCAAATACTGCATACAAATTGGGAGAGCTTGAAATTACTATTAATTCACTTACAGAAGTTCTTGAAGAATATCCCACAAGCTATTCATTACAATGTTATCGGGCCAAAGTAGAGTTAATACCTGGATCCGGATCCGAATCATAAGATCCGGATCTTAATTATAAGATCCGGATCCTAATCACAGG